TGTGTGTGTGTGTGTGTGTGTGTGTGTGTGTGTGTGTGTGTGTGTGTCACACTGCTGTCCTGTGCTCTACTAGTTCTGGTCCGTACTAGTTAATGTTGAACCCACATTATTTTTATTGTTGTATTATTTCCCGACATAAGAGAGCAGGAGTTCCGGCTCGTAGCAGTACACATGTCCAACACGAGCCCCTTCAGCTAATCTAAATCCAAACATTTTTGTCACATCACAGCTGCTCATTACTCTTGAATGGAAACACGTTCCCTGTTAGGCAAGCTTTGGAAACACACCGCATCTTTTGCCGTGACTCCTGCGGCTCACATCACAGTGCAAATGAATAAAACTGGATTACTTTAGTCGGGAGGACGAAGCAGTAGTTAGCCTGCAGGTGACTGGTTTTAGATCCGTGTTATAACGTTTTGAAGCTTTAAAGTCCCAGTGAATCGGAAGTTAGAGCTTCTTTAGATTCTCTATTGATTTTTTTATAAAGTAGTAGTAATAAAAGTGTTGTAATAATTCAACAGCACCAACTCTGTACAGAACATTGTCCCTGTTACTCCGGATAAAAACAAAAGTTTACATTGGGACTATTTCTTTGGCGGAAAGTAGTTCAACTTTTAACTGCCAGATCTGTTGATTATTAAGACCAACAGGGACATTATTTTCTGGAAAGACAATCGGTATGTCATTTACCAATGCTATGAACAACACAAACAAAATATTTTCCCCTCCAAATCTAAGCGACAGATAACTAAAAATCAAAACGATCTGTATGGTCACTACCACAAGCTGCGAATTCGAAGGATCAAATTGCCACCTGCTAGCCGCTAACTGTCTGTTTGCTGTTTGGTGCTGAGCAGGTAGTGAACAGTTGGGCTTTAGACTGACTGTTGCTTGTGAAAACCCAGGTGAGAGTAGTGAGAGCGAATCAAAACAGTGGGCTTGTAGGCCATAAAACCAAAACAATGAGCTGAAAGACGCCATAAAGCTCAGTAGAACTGAGAGGAATGATTCTAAATAACAGTCGTGCTTTAGTGTCTCACCGTATCGCTCTGCTCTGATGTCATCTTACCCACTCTCACTTGAATTAAAACCTATTAAACCCACTGTCCACGCCATGTGAGCGTTGTCCTGAACAAGGCCAGCAGGGCATGTTAGATAGTTGACATAACGCACTAGCACCGCTGCAGTAATGTTGTTTAAACACCAAAACAAGCCAGAAAGCTTGAAATCCTCTGCAGTGCTGCTGACGCTCCGGCCCCTGAGGAGTACGGTCGTCCTAGTTCTGCAGGAATCCCTCCACCAAGCAGGCGGCCTATTTTGTCTGACTGTTCACTGTGCTGAAGCAGAGTGGCGTGGTGCCTCATTACCTCCTCAACAGTTTTCACTGTGAAGCTGGATCGTAAGCAGAATCCTGCTCCGACCACTCGGGCGGACTGGCCTGAGGTGGCGGCTGTATGTCAGATGTGGCTGACGCACAGCTGCCATTAGCCTCAGGCCCAAATTCTATTTTTTTTTATTCTGAAAAGATCTTTAGCAAAGCTGCTTTTGAATGCTGATGTTTCTCCACCTTTTATACTGTATCAAGTTTACAACAAGTATTGACTGTTTTCAGACAAAAACACACAATCATGTCAAATTCACACACGTGCCACATGATGGTTTTACGTTGCAACGTCACAGCCACCGACACACTCACACACACACACACACACACCCACACAAAACATGCACGTCTGTGTGGAAGTTCTTCAGCGTGAGTGAAGATGACATGAAGTTCCCAATTTGTAACACCTGTTAGTCCAAAGTAAGCCGTAGAGGAACAACCTCAAAAACCGAACGGTTTTATTATCAACATACAATAGAATAATTTCCAATGAAAGAAACGTGACATTTGTTTTGTATAATGTTGATTATAGTACTTAAAATGAAAGAGAATCGAAGTCAATGGGTTTTTGGTTCAATGCCTGAAATGAGGTCTGTGTTTAACACAAGCTTAAGAGATTTTAACGTTTTGTTTTACGATGTTACTGGTGGTGACGTGAAGTCATGTGACCATAGTGTTGTTCGTTTATTGCCTAACATTGGCTTTATAACTGTGGCGATTGCATTTACGCTTTAAAAATCACTAAAGTGGTGTCCATTTGTGAAGAATATCTTGCTAAACATGCAAGCATCCTAAACGTATATTTGCCACAGGTCCTATTTTCTGCAATAATCGAATGAAAAATACCCAGTGACTGGCAATAAGTATCCCCAGTCTGACTCGAACCAGGGAGGTCACATGGTCGGCGCCTGAAACCCCGAGGCCATAAGGGCGCCTCTTGATTGGTGGTTTGTGAAGGAAAAGTCCAGTTCATTTACCTTTTATTACCCTGTTTGTGCAGAGTTTTACTGCAGTAACGGTGACTGCAGGTTGGGGCCTGCTGTGTGTTTGGTAGTTAATGGTTCTCTATCTACGTCCACTGAGCTCACACACACACACACACACGTAGCCATCCACCTCTGCTGTCTGGTGTACTGCTGGACATTGGGGGGGGGGCATGCTCAGACAACACAGTATCCCCACTCTGTCCCGCCACGCAGAAACACAGACACACACCCACACATAGTCATTCTGACAAAGGGGTCTTTGTGTCTGTTTGGCGAGTGCAGCTACAGTGAGGATGCCCCCGTTCTGATGCCCGGTGCACGGGTTTACAGTCAAATTGTCCACCGCATTCTGGTTTAGTTGTCTGTTTGGGACCGATGCTGGTCTCAGGCCAGAACTGTTTTAACTTCTCTGGTGACTTACCAACTCATTGTCATGCACTTAGTTCATAACATGTGGTATTCAGGCGTTCAGGGTTACCTAATGTCAAAGGCTGACCGTGTCTCTCTCTCTCTCCTCTGCATGTTCAGATACTACAGGGGAACGCATGGGGTCATAGTGGTATATGACGTCACAAGTGCAGAGTCCTTCGTCAACGTCAAACGATGGCTTCATGAAATCAACCAGAACTGTGACGACGTGTGCCGAATATTAGGTGAGTGTGCACATGTCTGCGTTCAGGAAAAAAGCCAAGGCGCTGCTGTCATCTCAGCACCCATCACCTAAAAATACACCTTGAATCTAGTGCACACGTTTTTTCTTTGTATTTGTTTTATTGGCAGGCATTGTATAATTGTTCCCAACTTAGTTCCTGCTACATCACCGTGGCACTATTTTCCATTTTCAGTGGGAAACAAAAACGACGACCCCAACTCCAAGGTGGTCGAGACGACTGATGCACAGAAGTTCGCCGAGCAGATGGGAATCAACCTGTTTGAGACGAGTGCAAAAGAGAACATCAACGTTGAAGAGGTAACTCGTTGTTTCAGACTGACGCCGTGTTCCGTGCGGAGGGGTTTGTCTCGTCTGGTATGCAGCGCAGCTCCGCTGAAGGCACTTTCTGGCATCAACTAAAGATTTTCTTTTACCAGCGGAGACTTGAGAAAGTCCAGCACATAACTCATGTAAAACCACACGTTGTGATGACTCTTTTTTTTTTTTTAACATATTAAAGGACCAGTGTTCAGGATTCAGTGGCTTCCCTCTGAACCCCAAACAGTTCCAGTGCATTCTACTCACTGAGTCCTACACCGCTATGGAAACATCAATAATCACTGCTCGTAGTAGAGAGAACTCAAGAATGTCTTCTGTGCAGTATAAAGTAGTTATGAATATTATATTCCATTTCTGCCAATAAATCCCCCCTAAAGCCTACACACCGGACATTTTTAAACAAACAAAGATGTAATGTAATAATAAGCAGAGTTGCTTCATATTTTTATACCTTTTTGGATGGAGCCAGCTGTTTTCACCTTTTTCCCAGACTTTATCCTAAGCTAAGCTAACTAGCCGTAAGCTGGAGCGTCATTTTGAACGGACAGAAAGTGGCATCGACCTCCTCGATCACAGAAATTCTTTGTCGACTAACACTCATACGATTTTGTAAACTAATCGATTTAGTTGATTTAATCAACAGATCTGTAAAACAGAGTTCCTCCACAAAGAATCGCACTAAAGCACCGCTATGAATCTTGTGTTTACCAGAGAAGTGCTCATAAGTCATTCAACATGAAAAAGCATTAAAAAAAATGAATCGGTTGACAAAAACGACCGATTAGTTTCACACGCAGATTTCAGCCAGTGGTTTTTGAGCACTGAAGCGGTCTCGTTGCCGTACTCACCACACGATGTCGGTCTGTGTTCTTCTCCTGCAGATGTTCAACTGCATCACAGAGCTAGTGCTAAGAGCCAAGAAGGAGGTGCTCGCCAAGCAGCAGCAGCAGCAACAGAACGACGTGGTCAAACTCACCCGGAACAGTAAACGAAAGAAGAAGTGCTGCTAGCAAACTCGGAAGCCATCCACGAAAAGGCCGGCCACGTCTTTTCTTCACACATGCATTTACACAAGGACTCAGAGCATCTAAATTAAAAGAGCAGATAAAGATTTAATAAATATACGGCGAAAGATTTAAAAAAAGAATAAAATAAATGGGGGAAAAAATGTCCCGTTTGGACTAACTAATCATGAAGACTTCCAAAAAAACCAGTGTACAGATTTTATTAGAGGTCAAATCAAGTTTTATTTGGAATTGAGCAGATGGGCACTATTGACCTGAGGTCCTCCTTCCTTAAAGGATCTGCGAGCCGACAACCGATCGCCACAATGCTCGGATTTATCTCCACATAACCCCCCCCCACTCCCCCCACTCTGCGTCTCATCTCTCCTTCTCATTCCACTGCACACGGGACATTCAGAGTCGAGTCTGACTCTGCGCCTGAGGAGAAGGAGGGGTCACCTTTTTCTGGATTTATTTGTTTGTTTCTAGTTTAATTTGTTTTGGGTGGGGGTGTTTTTTTGGACCGGGCTTCTGAGTGAGAGTGGAGGTCGCACCACCTCTCTACAGTTAAAACATTTCAGACACCTTTGTTCCCACGACTCAGGCCGAGAGATCATGAACTGTTAGATTTTGTTTTATTTGACATATGGGGGGAAAAAACACACTGATGACGATTGGTAGACGACCGTTAGCAACTAATCTGATGGACAGAACTGGTGACCTTTCACGTTTTGTTTTTCTTTGTCTATATTTGCCAATCTTCCCATCCTTTAACCTCCAATAGTGCTGAGCCAACAAGAATTGATTTTATTTTTTTGTCTCCTTTTCTTTCTTTTCTTTTAAAGTGCGACAGAACAGTTGAACCCTCTCTGAAAGCACCGTTCACTGCAGTCTTACTACTCTTTGCTTTTAAACCTCTACGTCCACCTTTAAAAAGAAAAATAAAAAACAACAAAAAAACAACAATGATACTGCCAATATTCTACAAAAAAACAAAATAGCAGCTCAGTGGTGCCCCTCATTTGGACTGTTGCCATAGAGGCGCCTGGTTGGCCATGAGGCAGAGTGAATCAGGAACTGATGGGAACCTGTTCAGTCCTCAGGAAGTGCTCAGGGCTGCCCTCCCTCTTCCCCCCCCACACACACACACACACACACACATATCAGCCCCTCTCACAGCGACGGACTCACCTGCTGCATTTGGTTCATCAAGGGAGCACGAGGAGGCTCGTGCTCTGGAAACTGTTCTCGTGGTCGTCCAATCCATAGCTGACTGTGTTTTGAGCATGTAACACTTTGTTTGAAGGGGTCTGTGAAAGGTTATGCCTGACATGCATCTTACACTGTCCAGGATTTACTGTATTGCAGATTATTCTAAACAGTTGACTAATGTTAAAGTCTGATGTCATGTTTTTTTCTTTGCTTTCAAACATGTCACCCCCCCCCTCCCCCTTCTACCTGTTCAATTGAAGTGTTACCTCACAGTGTTTCAGGCCTCCTCCGCGGTGAGTGTGGCAGTTAATGTGAGAACAAATGGAGATGGACTGCAGCTCTGGATCCCAGTGTGTTGGGGCCTGAGCGCTCTTTCTGTGCACCGCCAGGGTTTGTCAGAGGCCGAAGCGTCTGTTACTGACACATTTGTTTTTGTTTTCTTTATTTTGAATTTGGGAGAGCAGTGAACGGAGAGAGCTGAGCTTCTCTTTGGAAGCGTTTAGTGTTCGTCCTCTGGGCAGACTCTGGCAGCCGCTTTGGGATCCTGTCACCTCCGGGGCCTAGGAATGGTATCAAATCCCACATTTCTATTCGTTACGTGTATGTATATATAAATATATTTGTGTGTTTATATTCAGTATAGAACATACACACATAATTAGCACACCAAACTGTGCATGTGTAAAACATGCCCCGTGTGGTTGAAACACACACTCGTCAGCTGTGGTTTGCTGTACACTGGAGAAGAAGAGATGTACTATTCAGTTTTCCCTACATGAATTTAATCAGTAATAAACATTTTAAAGGAATAAATATTTGACACATAATGACTGATCTCATGTGTCAGTGATTTTGAGGCTTGGTCTTAACATAATTTTAAACCTGTGTCTTTATTTTTATTTTTTGCTTTCTGTGAATAAAATTGTACGGGAGGAAGTGTGTACTTGTCTTTGGAAGCGTGCTACTGTCTGTCTTTGGTGTTACGTCGAGAGTTCATCATGTCCAATGAGAGGAGTTCCAGTTTTCACCCGTAGCTGCAACAACTTTTAAAAAGAAACGTATCAATCATGGTCTGTCTTTGTCTTTCATTTGTCCATCAGGTCTTAGATGTTCACATCACTAGTAACCTCGTACCTGGTTTGTTGATTGATGGAAAGGCAGGACTTGAATTTAACGTCAAGTCTCATCTGAACTTTTATATTTTTAATCTTTAGTTTGGGGAATATGAACATGCTGGGGATACTAAAGTTGACCAGATCTTTTTCACAGTAGACACTTTGACCTGTTGAACACAGGTGTTACGAATAACATTACTCGCTGTGTTGCAGTGATGTCGTCGATGGCAGTAGCTCCATCTATGATTCTCCTCCAGCGACAGAATGTCTGCAATTAATTATTTAATTTGGGAATAATAAAGAAGAAACGTGCAGTTCATGTTCCCGTATAATGTTAATTCAGCTTGGCTCCTTTTGGCAATGTTTGATATTTTGACACGCTGCTTTCATTTCCATCTTTGGAACACGTGTATGAATATGACTGAAGCAAACTTAAAATATTTATATGCTCGATGAAACAAAATCTTTTCGGTCAGGACACATTAAGTATCATCAGTGGTGGAAGTATTCAGATCTTTTACTTATGTAAAAGTACCAATACAGAGTTAAAAATGCTTTGTTACAAGTAAAAGTCCTGCGTATATATGCTTACTTAAATAAAAGTACAAAAGTATTAGCTTCAGATTATACCTACAGTACTAAAAGTAAAAGTACTCATAATGCAGAATGGCTCATTTCAGAATAATATAATATTGAATGCATTAATGTGTTCATTTATGTTGCAGCTGGTAATAGAGGAGCTCAGTTTAATGACAAACTGCTCTTTATCCATGATAACATATCGATGTATTGGTTGGTTTATTTCTTGTGTTAACAATGATAAATAATAATAAATCAATCTGAAGCGGTCAGACACACATGGTGCAGTAAAATGAAACTGTGACCTGGTGGTGGCGCTGGATGACTGATAACTAAAGGCATTACAATTCATCCTGGGGGCGACATTTAGTTTTTTGTTCCTAATTTAATGGCAAATCAGTAATTTCACTCAAAACTACAAATGTCAACCTCCCTGTGGCGCTAGAGGTAAAGTCGGGATCATAAATGTCAGTAGGCCTCATCACCTGGGAACCATTAAACATCTCAGTTATTTGTCCCAGTCCAACCAGTCGATGTTGAGATAATTCACAGAATAAGTGAAAACTCTCACCTGGTGGTGGCACTGCAGGGAAAGTTCATAGGTCACCATTGGAGCCACACTGCTAGCATGTCTGCTAATATCTCTTCATTCAAAGGTATGCATATTGAATTCATCCAAACCTTTTTGAATTTTTCTTTAAAAAAATCGTTCTTTGTGTTGATCCATTTTAATAACCAGCTGAGATGCCAATAAGACATCCTGATAGATGTGTTCATGTTATGATATTATTGGTTTGAGCTTCTTACTGCTGCTCATTGAATTAGTTTGTTGTTTGCCTTCATCATGCGGTCAGTGACATATAATCCTTTTGTACAAATGACATGTCATGCAGCGTTTGTTGGGGCCCTTCTATCTGCTATAATTGTATTCTTTGTGTGGTTTCTCATATTTCAGCAGAACGTTAGAAGCACGAGCAGCTTGTCTTCAACACGCCCGACTACGAGAACCACAGAAGGAAAGCGTCAGCATTTCAAGGCCAAGTCAGGGGAGACAAGCAGATTGCAAAGTATTTATTTGTACAAAAGAAATCCCCAAAATGCTAAGAAAATTGCATGATAATTATTTTGAATAGTTTGAAGCGTTCTGTAACTGAAACAGTGCCGTTAGTCAGTGGTGAATGGAAGCACTCACACAGAGCACAATGAGCCCACCGAAAGCACTACATTCCAAAACAACATCCGATCAAGTGGAGACAAGCAACGGAGAACACACTCGATGGCATGTCCGTCTGTCACTGCAACACACACACACACACACGCACACACACACTGCGGCAGCATCGGGATGTTTACCACACTGACACGCAGCTGCAGAGGGACTCCAGAAAATGCTTTCAAATTCAGAAATGAATCAGTACAGTGTCTGAAAACAATCAAACGAGAAACAAACAGTAATCATGATACAATGTGGACAGAACCAAAAATGTTACAACTTATTATTTTTCTAACAAAAAACGTGACATGAAGTGAGACGATTAACAGTCCGGTTATGGCAGCAGCGACTGGTGTTTAATCCAAGTTTCCCTCCGCTGCCAATCAGCCAATGGAGGGGAATCCCAAACTACAAACAGCTGGATGTGAAGGGTCAGTGTTCTTAATTCACCCACTTTAACACTTTCCCTTCAGACAGGAGCACTGATAGAACTTTCTAATAAGGAACCCTTTATACAGAGTATAAACAATAAATACAGCATAATCGGATTCCTGGAAGCTTGTGAAGTTAGATTTAGAATTGCAAACATCTTGATATTCTCATTATATTACTGTTTGGATTGGTCTTGGTTATTTTATGGTTTAAATTATCTTTTGGGTTGTTTTAGGTTCCATTTAAGTTGATTTTAGGAAAAAATCTGAATACATTTCTGTTTAACTCTGATCTTTTTTTATTGTGTTATCTTATATTGTTAATCTGTTACTCATTGTTAGTGCTGCCTACCTTGGCCAATACATTCTTTAAAAATATATATATATTCTTTTATGTTATTGGGGTATGGAAGCCATGAGTGAGGAAAAGAAAATCAGTTTTCTAAATCTGATCTTAATGGTTTTCTCTCCTGTGTTCATGACTTAAGAATAAATGTTCACCTGTAAAACTGGTAGAGAAAAAGTTTTGTCAGGTGAATTTTTTTTTTTTAAGATTAGTTTTTATTTGTTGTTTGCAGTGCGCCACAACCCAATCTTCTAAATAGGACAAAATGTTTTTTTCCAGGTGAGTTTTGATTTTTTCATGCACTCTAAACACAAAGTACATGTAGTGTGTGTTATGCTGTTATGTCAGTTTAAACTCTCCTGGAAGAACATGAATGCTTGTATTCCTATTTAGAACATGGGGTACTAGTGCAATGAGTAAACACTTACTGTTTTCACAGATGAAAAAAAAAAAAAAAACTAACGTAGAAAAATGATCAAAAATGTTTTCCCGCCTGTTTCACAGATTACATTTTTTTTTAAAGGAACTTAGAAAGATTGTCCTGCAAACCCATGTTTTCACCAGTTCTTAGGTCATAAACACAGGAGTTAACTGATTTAGAAAATGGATCACCAGAATGAGGCTTCCCCGGTTACATATAAAAATCAGTTTAGCTCTTTAACTCATCAGGAAGACTTATAAATCACATGACCTCTGATCTCCTAGAAAGGTCTACAGGGCACTTGGAAAATTAATTTATTAACAGTAATGAGGATCTTTGTCTAGCCTGTTGTAAGAACCCTTAATTAATTACTTTAACAGTTATATTCAGAGATGATGTTCTAAATCTTGCTGTTTGTTTATTAGAAAGTGAGAAACTCTTGACTCCTTAATAGAGATTTTTTTAAATGTAGACTTAACGTAAAGGGTGAGTTATCAGGAAGTGGTACCAAGAACAGAATTTCCATTAGTTGGGGCACTCTTGGATTAATAATCAAGATTCATGAGGCTTCTTGGGGTCTTCCCGGTTAGTTACGCATCATCTTGGTGACTAATTTGGGCGAAACTGGTACTCATGAATCTCTCTCCAGCTCTACTGCATGCCACATCCGGACAGACATACGTATGAATGATAACTTCCACCTCATCAGTGGAATTCCTGCTCACCGTTAGGACACGCATGAAAATATCAGCCTAGAAATAACAACACACAGGTATATTTCCCCTAAAAAAAGATTTTCATTCAAAAAGGTATGCATTTTTTTCTTATAAATATAACGATTTTGTCCAAACCTATTCAACTTTTTTATAAAAAAAATCATTCTTTGGGTTGATCCTTCCCAACAACCAGCTGAGATGACGAGAAGACATCTGCATATAGGTTTGCACAGCTGCATTAGACACGAGTACAAACACAGACGGACATGAGACATCACTGTGCCACACCAAGTCATTCATGCTCGGAGATTTCAGGTCAACACATACTGTATTACTGATGGAGTCACAGATATGTTGCCTAAAACGGAAGCCCGACAGATAAGAAATCAAAGTGCCCATGAAGTATTGAAGCAATGAGAATGGAGGTAGACCTTTTCTATGAGCAGTGAACCAAAGCAGCTCAGACCTGGAACGCTGCAGAGGAAGTTTAGTGAAGTTTCTGTACAACAACATGCCTTCTAATGATCAGAAATTCAACAGGCTATTGTTGAGCTGGATTGATTGAGAGTTGATGAGCATTCTACATAGTTCTTCGTCCTTCTCAAGCTGATGTAAACATTTTTTTAAATTTGGTCAACTAGGGAGATGATTGACATCACGAGGACAATGTTGGACAGTTTTTTCTTTGAAAAATGATAAATACTTTAAATGTTAAGTATAAAGTGAACTGTGGAAACCTGGACATGACGATATCACTAACTTCAGTCACCCAAAGGTTTATTCAGATGTTGGAGATGAGCATGAAGGCCTCAGACTTCACCACGGACCCACAGGCCTGACTTCAAAGTGCTGGTTTTGAAACACTCACTCATTTAAGGATCCACAAGCTTGATTGTGCCTCTTTAGCTGCTAAACGCTCCACCGTGTTCACCGGGTAGCTGCTAACTGTTTGCCGTTTGATGCTGAGTAGACGATGGTCAACCAGTTTATCACAGCTTTTTGCAGAAAACGGCTGCCTACTGCTGTTGAACCAAAACAGGCCATAAAAACCAAAACAATGAGCTAAAAAAAGATAAAACACTCGTGGAGCTGATGGTGATAATTCTGTGGGTTTGACTATGAGTTAACCCTTTCACATTACACATGGTCTACGTAAAAAAAATATTGATTAGTGCAGCTTTATGAAAGTGCAATAAGAAGTGCAGAAAGTTTATTTTTTTTCTCACTTTGATTGGCGGTTTGGGCCATGGGCATTGCACCACGGTAAATCCTCACTGTGGAATTCACCTGCACAGCTGTCAGTAAAAAAATAAGCATTCTTTTTTTATAATTTGTCCTGTCAGATATGCAGCACACTATGGTGCTGATACATCAAGCTGTTGCCTCATGTTGTGAAAATCCCCTGAACAAATGAATAAACCTGAGAGATCACATGTGGGCTGGCTGCAACGTCGTATTCTGACAAAGAGCTCTGCCCCGCTACCCTCTTCTTTCTCCACAACCCTGCAGTGTCCCATACATCCACCCGTCTTTCCCCAGACTCCCTGCCCTGATAACTGGGATGCATACAGTAACAATTTATACATAGTGTTCCCTCTCTACAGAGTTGGCAGTGGGCTAGTAGAGATGGTCGTAGGCACTAAAAGGAAACCTTCCTCTTTGGAGGTAAACTTTGTGACCGTGTTCCTGTTCTGTAAGACCGAGACTCTCTATGAGAGGGGCTGAAACCAAAGCCTTTGGGGAACTCCTATTCTTATATTTCTATCTCTCATTGTCAGCCGTCACCATTTAATCAGCGAAGAGAAGAGTAATGGGACAGATAAAGTGCAAATGACCCCCCCCCCCTCCCCAAACTTCAGTGTGTGCCACTGCCCGTCTTTGGCTGTGTTGTTACCCTTATACTGTGATGTCACGCCCTCCTTCTCCCTCGCCTCGTCCGTCTCTGTCTGTCTGCTGTGCTCAGGACCAGTCCAATGGGGCTCAGTTCTTTTTGAAAAAAGAGAAAAGTCTCTTGTCCCGGTCGGAGATGCGGTGAGCTCGTCTGGAGGACTGCCCGCCGTGTGCCCTCGACGAGCCCGACAGGGAGGTAGGGGCCGAGCGCCACTCGTCCTGGTACTTGTCCATCAACTGCTGGTCAATCACTCTGTGCATATCATCCTAAAGCCACGGACAAAGAAGGTGAATGAGAGAAATACAGGAGAGCAATGTCATGCAGAGAGGGTCAATGGTGGAGTGGTACAGGAAGTTCTGGGGAGATCAAACTCATTGATCAAATTACCTGTTGGGCATTGATTACAGAGACACCACAACCACTTTTCATCCCTGTCAGATCATTTGTTGTTTACTTAATACTACCTGGCCTTGATTCAACTTTTTTTTTTAATTTAGGAACATGTGCTAAAAAGCACAAAACTAAAACAATGAAAATTTAAGAAATAGATATATGATGTCACTTCACACTGTGCCGGACTGCTAGCCCGACCATTATTCTTTTGCTCGAGGACACTTCGACTCGTAGACTGGACATCCAACCAATTCAATTACATGAACACAAACCAGTTGACGCACAGCCGGCTTGTAGCTCTCAGCGCCCCTGGAACTCTGTAATCCTTAACCTTTCAGTTTGTGACCCCTTGAAATTAAGCAATATTGCGAAGAGTTAAAAAGTAATTTTTCCTCTCGGATGACTTGATTTGAATAGCTTTTAGAGGCCTAAAGGAGGTAAAAAATAATTCAGTAATTCAAAAGAAAATGCAAACATTAGAGCGAAGTCTGAAATAAAAAAGACGTGTTAAAGAAATATATTTTTTTCTCTTCCCTATCCTGTTGATCTTGTGATTTACCGTTTGACTCTGTGGAGGAGGAACCACTCTTCTAAATTGCTCCAAATACTTAGATTTATTTAATGGATGAAAAACGTTGCCATGCTGGTTGTTAGTGAGATAAAGCCACCAGAGAGCTCTGACAAGCTGCTAAATTAAACTGGCAACTATTGTTTGGAGACTAAAAATCTGTACTTTTTATATGAATACACACTTTTTATTAGTCCTTTTTACTTTGGGTGTCACCTAATAACTAAACACCACCCACACTTTATGATCTATTGGGTATACTGGAGTGTTTTTGGTGTCTGTGATCATCTCTCAAAAGGTAAGATGACCAGTGGGACCAATCTCCAAAAGAATCTTTAGGGGATACAGGTGTGTGGAGAGAGGAGACAGAGGCAGGTGGAGAGAGCGGGTGGTGGGTTTGGATGGTTCTCTTTGGTGGTTTAATGGTTTCAGAGAGAGAGGAAGCTGGAATGGGCGTTTCTCCTGAGTCAGTTAACCGTGGCATGGAATGGCTCAGCATGGCGTATATATAGTCGGGTTAGTGCAGGGTGAAACGGCGAGATTGGCGCAGCTCGGGCTCACCTCTAAGGCAGGAGGGGGAGGGGTACCACAGAGGAAGTAAGGGTGGTACGGAAGCTGAGAAAGGCCACTAGATCAGAAACCACAAGAGCCAAACAGTAAAGAGCCCTGAGGAGGCAAACTGTGGGCAGGGAGAAGAGAGAGGAAAGAGCTGCTAGTTACAGATGAGGGAGGGGAGGGAGGAAACACATACACACACACACACACACTCCTGTATCCTCAGGCTATGTGATATGTTTCCTTATGGACACCCATTAAGGACGAGCAACTGACATGCACCCTCAGAAGTTAGTGGTTTAGTGTATGTGTTAAAAAAGAGTGACTAATCTCAAAATTGATGCAGAAACTACATTTACAAAATAGCTTTATTTATGTAACAACCTTAAAATAGCTGTTCCAAAGTTCTACAAAAGGACTACTAGGCTTTTACGAATGTACCGCTCGTGGCGTTTGACCCACCTGCCAAGCCTCCAGCTGCTGCGACAGGTTGAGCTTCTGCTGGATGGCATCCAGGAGCTGGCTATTCAGAGACATGATGTCTATTTTACACTTGGCCAGCTCCATCTCCACCGCTTTCTTCCTGCAGGACACACAGACATGACATCCCACTAGCACGAAGGCCCTACAGAAACTAACACGGTGATGAATGTAGAACAACTCTTTAAAGCAATAGTTCAACATTTTGGTTAATATGCTTATTCAATGTCTTGCAGGGAGCAGGCCGTTAGTTTAGCTTAGCATGAAGGCTGGAGGCAGAGCGACACAGTTAATGATCTGAATGTTGTGTATTGCTTAAGAGTGAGCTGTTATTGGTGTTTTGGGCAGAGCTTCCTGTCTTTATGCTAAGCTAAGGTAACCGGCTGCTGGCTGTAGCTTCATATTTCATGTGTAACAAAGAAGCATATTTCCCGATCTATAATCTGTATTTTTTAAAATAATTTAGCGGAAGTTTAGTTAATTAGCTAGCTATCTTGTTTTTTTACACCGTGTTTTCATGCTACACTGGTTAAAGAAATTCAACACACATGAGAGAAGTTTGCTTCTGCCAGAAAAAAAACTTAAAAACTTTTAAGAGACATATCCCCAGATCTCAGCAAGACATGATTAAATATAATGTTACTAATAGCAACAATAGCCAAACTATAAATAGAAGACCCAAGTTGTGATAGAATGGATTATCCTTTACACTTTACATTAAATTGATGAGGAAAGTGATGTGACGTGAACCTACTTGGTTATGGCGTCATCTCTGTCTCTGATGGCAGTCTGGAGCTGCTCACTGGGTTCTCGGACTTCAGCCATCGTCCTCATCCGCTCGTTGTCCTCCCGGAGAGAACACATCTCTACCGAGAGCAGCGCCATCTGCATTCACATGGGAGAATGATGCGGGCGTGTAAGACGCTGGCCTCATAAATTCAAGATAGCGTGAGTCCACGTTACACAAGGGCTGTCTCATGTGTGAGACTGATGTTTAATCGACCCACTTTAACAGGAGCATCCACTGACCCGTGTGGGTGGAGCTTATTTTGTGTAAATCATGTTAGATGGCACTTTAAGCCCACAGGAGAGAGAGAAAGCTGTCCTGACAGAAAGAGGACAAGGTTGAAGCAATTTCCCAAATTACAATCAACATGCGTCAAATTCCCACTGCCACACAAACTGGTGAGGACTACATCTGCACTATGTTGTCTAAATGTTATTCTCAGACATGAGCCCTGCTTAATGCAATTCTATTCAGACGTCTTCCTTCTGCTCGTGCTTTAACCTCTTAATGTATCACCTGATCACTTATGTGTTCGTAACACAGCATCTACATGTGTGCGCACATGTTCAGTACCTGATTGTGCAGCTGTAGCGCATCATCTCCGTTGCTGCGTGTTTTGTCCTGCTCAGTTTCGTACAGCTCTCTGACTTCCCTCAGCTCCTCTCCCAGCTTCCTCACCTGCTCCTCCAGAGCCTCCTCATCACTGCGCCGCGAGCCCTTTAAAACACACAACACACACTCACTTTATATGTGCTGTTACCGCCCACAGGTTATTAATGTCAATAGGCCCACTGAGGCTCCATCCTGTCAGAGTATTATTAAGTCATCTGTGTTTGAAACATCTTTGTCATCACCAACTTTCGTTTCATTGGGTATCTCTTTTGGTAATAATTTATTTTATGGGTCCCAGAGGTTCCTAATAACTTTTACGACAGGAATTGACGTGCATTTTCTTTCAAATTGTATGGGTTTGTTTTTTAATGCCTTCTGTTTTTAATCTTTATTTTTATCATAATTCTACTAGCATTTGTTTTTTAAATCTGATACTCACCATTCTGTTATCTCTCTGGCCAATCAGAAAGAGAGATCACCATTAGGCATTGTCTGATTGATCATAATCTTTACACATGTGGGTGACTTTTGAGGAGTGGTTTGAGGAGGAAAGTGTGAAAAGATGAGTGCAGATGAAAGTGTGAATGCCAGAGTGGAGCTGCTGCCTAAAAATAAAAAGGATGTCAGCCGTCTGGCAATGTTTGGATGGAAGAGAGACAACGTGGCACAAGCACAGGTGCAAGTCTTAGTCAAGAAGTGATTATTTTCCTCATGTCGTGCAGCCCTACTGGTTGCCAGTGAGTTCTTCATTACCGTGGACTCGTTGCCATCCAGCAGATTCTGTGTGAGCCTCCGTAGCTCTAGCAGGCTGGTGTGGAAGCTCCCTGTAGGCACATCCTTGGCTGAGGACGTCTCCGAGGACTCGTCCATGGAAGAGTCGGTGGACAGCGCCGAGTCTGTGACGTCGTTTCCCCGGAGATGAGAGCAGAGCGAGCGAACTTCACAGTAGGCCTCCCATAGCTGAAGACGCAGCTAAACGGACAAGCCGGGAGGGGGAAGAGTGTTTAGAAAAGCACAGCAAAGTATTTGACGGTGACTTTCTACTGTAACTACCTGCTCTCTCTCCTGCTCCTGCTCCTCCTGCTCCATGCTCTGTTCTATCTCACACAGCAGGCTGGACGGGTGCGGGGTGAAACTATGGAGGCTGTGCTCCTCCGTCAACTCCTCCAGCCGAGTAGTCAGCTGCCTGTGGGACACCTGAACCTCCTGAAGCTCCAGCTGGCTCTGCCGTAACTGGACACAACAGAGAAATTAAAACTGTGACTTAACCGTGCAAAGTAAAAAGTAAGCCCCTGATGGGTCAGTTGACTACTTTAAGGACTAATTTAAGATCAGCATTGAAGAAGGTAATTGACTCACAATATCTAGAGAGGCGGAATGCCTCAAAGATTTGATCACTAACATATGTTTGTTCATGTGTCCGTACCTGTAGGTCCTTCTGGTGAGACTGCCTCTCCAACACCAGCGTCCTCTCTCGGAGGTCGTCCACTGTGTTCTGCAGCAGCTCGTTCTCCTCCAGCATGGCGTGCGCCCGACGCTCCAGCTCCATCTTCCTCTCTGACAGCATCTTAATCTAACGTGTCAAACGGCACCAGTCAGTCACTGTGCCACGGGAAATAGGCATTGATCGGAAAACCAGAGGATTGTTTCGATTTCCTGGCCGATAGCAAACAGATGGGCAGCTATGGATCTGATTAAAGGCTCAATTTTGTTGTTTCCCTTACTCTGAGGCAAGCTGGGCTCTTACACAAGATTAAAAAGTACTCCCACTGGCCTAAAGAATGTTTGTTGCCTAGCACGGACGTAGGCGTCAGTTGCCACCCTCGTCTTCAGGAATGCCTTAGTGATATGTTAGCGTCCCCAAAAAGCTTGATATCAGCTTACTCCTCACCATCTATGTCTAACGGCCTCCAACAGAGTTCCTCATGAATTGTTTTCCCGTGTAGCTGCCTGAGTAGCTCTCCCCATTAAACAAACACCAGCTCTCGTTCATTTTTATCCCTCCTGCTTTTGACCTACATCTGGTAACCTACTTCACAGTGCAGGAGCTTACGTTTGGATCAGTTGTTTTCATTACCATATGAGCGTCCCCATTGCCGGGCTCTGGATATTTTTGGGCTGCTACGGTCTCTTGCTTCACACAAATAGGTCAAAAAGCCATTAGTCATCAGCACACGTCATATAAAGGCAAGCATTGGAAAAGTGGGAGCACCCAGACATTGCAGTATCTCAGCTAAATATAGAGCGGTAGCCTTTTCTCCCAATTATAGCGCAGGCTCTGCAGTCTGGGTGTTTTCTGCCTGGCTTTGAAGAGAAGCTACGGGGAAATCTGATTTGTTGTTATGCTCTAACACTACCGTTGTTCATGACTTATCTGGCTGATATCATACATGACACAGCTGACATCACAACACATCATGCTCCGATAACCAAGCATGTTGTTTATGTTCGATGTCATGAAACAGGGATTGCCAAAGGATGTGGAAAAGTCGAATAGGGATTTACTTTGGGTGACAACAGAGCTGAGTTTCTTTAATATTAAATGACTTTACAAGTAAAATTCTAAGGTATTAGAGGTGCTAAATTCCAAATTCGGATTCTATTCTATCTATGATTGAGGGATTGCCTCCACACATCTCTCAACATGGCGACGGCTGAGCCGGCAGCTCGCAGCTAACAATGCTAACGTGAGCAATGCAAGCAAGGGCAACAGAGGTAACAGCGTTGACCTGGATGGTGGGACCGAAGGACCGTTACTCTCCCGCGATCAGCCAGTGGGGCACACACACTGGGACACACATGCACTAACATGCACGTGCGGCCGGACCGGCTACGTACACAAGGCACAGAGAAGCTCTGATTACAACACACACAGAGGGAGAGCGACTTCATTCTCTGCTCAGGCGGACATTACTCTCCTATATCTCTACACTGCAAATAGTTGTTTGCTGCTATATTAATGCTCTGATTATCAAATGTATCACCTTTAAAGTTATATGAGGTCAAAAGAGTCAAACATTTCATTCAGCATCTACCCTAAGAAATAACAGTACTTTGGTTTATCATCAAATCATTTCATTGGGAGCGGTGTAATTTCCAATTCAAAAGAAAATAATGGTGCAATCCTAAACTGTTGTTTTACAAGACGTTACATGCAGCATGCAATCTGACCGACAGACAGCGTTCGGTAACCACTCACTTCTAGCCCTTGCTGCTCCAACCAAGAGGGAAGGAGGAATGGGTGAGGAGAGAGAGAAAAAGTAGTTTGAGAGTAATCCCACAACTGCCCGACAGATTAAAACCCTCGCAGGATGAAAGGTGAACACCATCTTCTGAAAAAAAGGGGATTGGTTGAAAGCAGTGTTTCCCTTTGGTGGAATTTGATTCCACCTATCTTTTACCAGAAACTTCAACTTTGAAGCGAGGTTATGTAATTTTTGCTGAAAAGCAGCCCTTGTGACCGCAAGTGGTAATTGCACATTAATGGGACACAGAATTTTTCTTCATTTCAGAGTCAACTGTTTTGAAGACGCCATCATCCGGCGACCAGACTGAGAGGAGATACAATGGCACCAAAAACAGGAAACAACAAACATGGTGTGGTACGATGCATGTTTACATCTTGCTATACCTTTAAGATGATTAACTGTAACATGTTTGAATATAATACAACAGCAACACAAGTAGAAAAGTGACATAAAGTCAGTTACACGTCAATATCTATCTAAAGTTTGCTGACGTTAGCTAACACTATTCACCATTAGCTACTGGTCCAAGTACGACTGTAGAAGCAAAACTCCTGAGTGTATTGAATTGAACAGGGCGGCATTTTCTTGCCAATGAAATAATCTGTTAATTTGCACAAAGGAAAATGTGTTAATAATACTTCTCTCAAACATTAGTCTCGCTTTCTTTGGGATCTGCTGTCACCTTAAGCACTCAGGCTTCTTGCTAAGTACCAATAATTGCGAACATTGAAAAAGTGCAAATCAAAAGTACCCAGCTGCAATTTTCCACAGTTGTTTTTTTTTGTTTAGCTTTTGGCGGGCGACTGCTCAAGCTGAGTGCACTCTGACAAGTACAATTCAATCATTTGCACTCTATGAAGGAAAAATGGTGCCGATAGCTGCTCACCTCAGCCTGTAGAGTTTCTAGTCGAGTCATGTGCTGGCTTGTAGACATACTCTTCTCCCTGAAGTCGTCCCGTAATGAATGGACCTGAGTGGACAGCTGCCTCTCCACCTCTGCAGCCTGGATGGAGACAAACAGACAGAGGAAAATAGGGTCAATATTTGCCTTACATGTGTCTACTCCTAACACTTAAACATTTAGCACTGCAGTGGCGATGGGTTGTCGAAATTGACACAATTCAACTCGACCCCCAACAGTTCAGTTAAAGTAGCTATTTTAGCATCTTCTTTTTTCATTTCTAAACTTAAATTCCTCCGAGCCAACTGACACTGACTCAAGTGACATCACGTGAGGACATTCATCAGACTTCACACAGACACTTGAGACACTAAAGGCTTCATACAGTACTTATGCAGTAGACCTGTAAAATCACGTGATTTTACATTTAATTATTGTTCACGGTGACGTTGACATAACAGCACATTGTTATATTATAGTGTTATATTTACTGCTCAGTTAAATAAAAAGATTGCATAGCCGCTCTTTAGTCTGTGTTCCTGTCCTAAGAGACTGAGGTGATTTATTGGACTCTGATGTGTAAGCACACACACACGCACACACACACACACACACACACACACACACACACACACACACACGTAAAGAGGCCTAAACCCACTGATGTTCATCATGTATTCAGTGACATTTGTAAATCAGTTATTTGTAAATCAGCCCTCCCAAATATGTTCCTGTAAATGGCGCATGTGATTGCTGTTCCTCTGAAAGGCCATTTAAACCCACGTCATCGTCCTTAAAAACCTTGAATACTCAGTATTTGTGCAATCCAGCCCAGCAGCAGACTCGGTGCATCAGTTGAGCTTATTGGACAGGTGGGATCAGGCCACACAGAGCCTGACTGAGCTTCATTAGCATAGAGCTGCACTCAGGAAGCTTCAGTTCTCGTGTCATCACTGCCATGGCAACAGCAACATCTTTAAAACCACTCACTTTTTACGGCTCACTGAAGAGACATATTGTAAATGTCAAAAAACACTGTACGAAAGGGAGCAGTTGATCTGCACACTCACTGAATACAAATCATTTTTTATTACTGTGGCAAGCAGTGCTCAACTCTAAGCAAATCATCAGCAGTGCTGAGTACAAATGTAGATGACTAATGTTTGTCTGAAGTACAGCCTCTAGGTGGCACTACACACTGCTGCCTCTCCTCAAGAAGCTCGCAGAGCGATGTGAGGAGGCTCAACAGCTGGTCGTGGTGGTTGTAGTCGGTGTGTGTGTTCTAAGGCTCCCCTCTGAACGGTTACTAATAATGCAGCACTCCGTGTGATTTCAAGGAACGCCAAATATGTGTGCCAAAAGGTCAAAATGTTCTCCTCACATAAAACGTTTCAAACACAATGGTAGATGTTGTTTTTTCTTCATTACAATAAAGGAATTCATCACCCACCTCCCAGTGTTCATTCCAGAAAAGAATGTTATGTATCCCAAAGGTACACGGCACTAAAACCGTATATTGACACAACATAATAACAAAATAACTTATTTTTTGATGGTGGTTGGATTATTTCCAACACTCTGTAAAAGTAAATCTCTTCCCTGTGTATCCATTAGACGTGGATTAAATGATAACTTCTGGGAAGCATTGTAATTATTATACTTTGAAGTTTAATACATCCCAAAAAATTAAAAAAGTGTCAGTTAAGTTGCCATTCACAAAACATAATGATAATGGTTAATATTGAGTGGATGGACGACTAATTGATTATGTAGGTTTGAAGGAGCTTAATAAAAACAAACTATGTGTCTCAAATATGAATAAATATGAATGCCTTCTATTATATTTCTATGGTATAACATTTAGGATTGAAAGGTGACACATTGTCTGGGAAATTAAGGTTTCTTTACAATTCAACTATTTCATGAAACACAATGTGGACGGATCAGGGCAAAGATATGAATAGAGTTACTAACCATACAACACACTGAGGGATATGACTTTTGTCATGGTCCTGGGATTGGTTGTAGTCTGTTTCCTGTTTTATTTTGAAAGTTCACTCTCATCGCGTGTCATGTTTTGTTTTACTTCCTGCCTCTGTCTTTTTCCCGCCTGTTTTCTACCACACCTGGGTTTCATGAGTTGATTAGTCTCTTGTGTATCTAGTCTGTGTGTTTCCCCTGTTTGAATTGACAGGTTGTCTGCATTAGTTGCTTGTTTCTAGCTTTGCTCCTAGTGTTCAGTTTTCTTCAGTGTTCCTAGTTTGTGTTGGATTTACTTTTATCTGTCTGTTTTTGGACTCGAGCTGTAAGTCATCTTTTGCACGTGAACTCATTGAAATTCATGCCTGCTGCCTCCCCATCTTTTCATCTGCATTTGAGTCTAAACTTGCTATTCACAGAACTGTGACAGTTACGACCTGCTACGTAAACACAGACGGTTTCACAAGGAAGAGACGGATACTCACAAAAAAGACATTACTGTAAGGCTGATCCTCCAGGAAAAAAAACAATGGCTTGACATTGTTCAGGAAATTATCTGATGAAAAAGTTGACCTAGTTATCTTTTGAGAGTTAAAAAGAAATTGGGTAAAGTGGATCATTTACATGACACGGGATGCTGAACACTGCATGTCCGAGTATCAGAACTTACATCCACATATAAAAGGCTTTGCATCAACATAGAGATTCTATTGGTATATGTACACACTTTGTTTGTTTTCCTCTGAATTGTCAACTACCTGCGATAGAAATGCAACTTATGCGAATTATAGCAGTGCACAGTTTACTACTATTCATATGTGCCCTTAGCTGCTTGATTGCGCTGTGTGTGATATTTGATGGTAGTTGGTATTGCATGTTTCATGTTTCTGTAGGTGTATGATCAGTATCGTTTGCATATATGCATTTGAGAATTTATTGTGTTTTTTCAACTTAAAACTTCACCCCAACGAACTTTCTTTCTATAAAAAAGAACCACTGTGGACTTAAACAGTGGAAAACTTTTATAAAAACAAAAGAAAAAAGAGATCTCAAATAGGAGTTGAGATGTCCAGTGCGTCGTCGGTTGTTCTCGAAGCCATTTCTTTCGAGTTAAGCAGACATTGAAGCGAAAGAGCTCAAATAACTCGACAGTGATTTACTGTCTGGTAGCCAGATGTGCGGTTCTATGTGACAGCTGCATGATCCTGTCTCTGTATGTGGGAAACGGGTCACAGCGGTTTCGTGACATCTGACCGACTGGCCCAAGATGCTGAGAGATTGCGGTCAGGTTTCTCATCATGATCTCAGACTGCCTGATTTGCAGATAGTCTCTTAATCTGCCCATATGTTTCTCAGATCCCAGATCAGGTATTACAGGACGAACGGGGGCAAATCGGACTGCTGTGATAGAATCCAGGGCAGCAAAGTAGGGCTCAGCAGAGAGATGCGTTTCTTTAAGTCCCCTAAATACTGTAAATTAACTTTCCAGAGGAGGACTGGAACTTGGAAGGTAGACATCGGTCCTGTTGATTCAGTCTGTGGCTGTGGAACAATATCCAGCAGATATGACTGCAGGTGCATTTTTTTTGGATGAGGGGCACAACTTGGCATCAAACTATCTGTATCCTTGTGCCACTTGTGTAGAGCGCATTCCCATGGTAACGCCACACGGAGTTTCAATTTGCATGTCACTCTGGTTGTCACGGCAACCAGGGGTGAAGTGGGATTGGTTAGAGCTGCGACAAGTGGTCTCGATGCTTCTGGTATTTTCCTTTAGTCACGTTCACTGCCTTGTCTAGACCGATGATGGAGGATGGGCAACACCGCGTTCAAACGGTTGTATAACAAATGCCGAGAGTGACGGTACGGGCCAATCGGAGAGCTGATCCTGAGAGCAACAGCTCCGGTGACTAGATGTGAATGAAGCTGATGGCTGGACAGATGCCCAGGGAGCATGTCCAACGCTGGCTAGATGTTGTAAAACAATCCTGTGCAAAGCGTGATGTGGATATACTGTACTGATGAGGCCAGACACAACATAGGTTGCCAACTTTCTGCTTTTGTCATTCCAATAACACCTTGCCTCTTGAATTGTTGTCAATGACAAGTCAAGAAAATGTAATTACTCCTCCTATAGCCTCAAATAAACTATTTTGAGTCACTGGGGGGCTGCTGTCATTAAGTAAGTAGAGGTTGAGGGAATTAGAATTGACTGTGTCCATAAAACATGCACACTTGTGAATCCCCAGCCTTTTCTGAGCATCTGTGCTAATGTAATTAGAAGAAAGGTCCTCTTCCGGCTGGTTCACTCTGATCAGATTAGGCTTGAGGAGATTGACTGTTCTCACACTAAAGATCTATACAGACCAGCACACACCTCATAGGCTCTACTCCAGGATCTATTTTCTCTGGGTGTATTGAAAATAATGTGCATTTTCATCACGCAGTATTGGAAGATTCACTCACACATGCACACACCCAAAGAGGAATAACCACAGGGGGTATATGTGTCATCCCACGATAAGAATTCTAGATCTTCTTTGTTCACCTGCTGTTATTAATTAAGTAAAGTATGGACTGGAGTTGTTTTGGTTCCTGACTGAATGCATATGGCGAGGCTATTAGCAGGGATTATAGCCTAATCCCCTCAGCGCTGTATCTTACCCTGTAACTGACATCACATGGAGTGCCCTGCCTCCTCAAGGTCATCCCACTGCAGCCAATTTAAGGTTCTGTTAAGAACAGATTCTTAATTTGTTAGTGAGGTGGTGCACTGTTTTTATGAATCTCATCTTTGGCTGCAAGATTTGCTTCAGAAATCCCTGGCAGTTGTATATGGAGGACAAAAACTTAAATACTTTCATACATAAATGCTGAAATAAATTAATAGTTTACATGGTGGTAATCTGAACAAAAAAAAAATGTCTTCAGTTTCTTTCTGTAAATCTACTTTTATATACAGTATTTCTGAATTTTGACACATTTGTTTACTCATTGATAATTAAGTCCTCCACAGTCGTGATGAACACAATATTGTGCTCCCCCCGTTTGTTTGTTATCGTGAACCCTTTGGCTGAGGATACAGTTCTTCTGTTAGTTAGGAGCCTTGTCCTCAGTAGGTGTGTCTATTGTCCACTCATTACTCTCTGAAATGTGATTTGCAGCCGAGGTGCCAAAGGACTAAAATAACACGCTCATAATCCCTTTGGCCGTGCACAGGAACACGTTCTATCCCACAAGGCTAGTTCTTTACATACGGACCAGTCTAGATCGTTATAAGTCTGTTCCGGCAAAGAGTTACGTAACTATTACGAGAAACACGGAGGGCAGATGAAATTAGCAGGCCTCCAGAGTTTCCTTAGGGTACTCTTATATTTCCTCCATTCACTCAGAGCTGTAAACAGTAAACATTACTTAGTCACAGCCCAGTGCTTAATAATGAGCAGTGACAGAGAGAAAGAGAAGAAAGGAAGAAGGATAAAAGGAGAGAGAAAGCGAGCACTGTAGTTGACCTCATTTATTCTATTACCCAGCAGGTCTCCGCTGTCTGCCCAACTCACTGAATCATGGATCTGGATCGATGCAGTCAATTAAGTCTCATACATTTCACTGAGTCACAAAGACCCCCCCGGAACACAATATACCTCTTTCAGGGAATATCTCTTTATATTCCCACATCCGGGTTTCAATTAAATTAATGGCAGTTTAATTATGCTGATTGCCCGCTCTTGCTTAGATCTACAGCGACTGACCAGTCGAGAGCAGTCCTTGATTGCGATGTGATGATGGCGTTGGGGCAATGCCGGGCACGATGCTGATTTAATCTGCTCCAGATGAGAAGGAAAGCTGCACAGCAGCGAGCTGGGGGTTAAAATCAACCGCGCAGAGCCTTCTGAACAGCGGGTGCCTGGGAGTAGATCTCCAGGAAGGAGAGCGTCACCATAGACGCAACCACTGACGTGGTTATCAAGGCACCTGTACAGACTTGTCAGCCTTTGTACGCACAGCTCTGGGGCATCCTGAAATGTAGCCTTGGTACGCACTGCCAGCCTATGTGGCAGCTGAAGACACTCATGCCTCTGTTTGCGTTTACACCGTACAGACACATTAGCTGTGTTACAAATCGTATCATATACTTAAAAAACAACAACACTTTTAATACCTGCCCCTACAAAGTAGTGTAGCATGCACTATGCATTCAATTGGGACATGCTACTTCCTCATAACATTGCACCTTGAACGTTGACCCTCTTTCTCATATATCTGCGGCACTGAGGCATCGAGGGTCAGAATAGCCAGAAAGGCTTTACTGGCTTACATACGGCAAAGTGCGAAGGGATGTAGTAGAACATCGTGGTACTTTAGGGATACTTCATTTAACATACTATGTATTGGGGCATACTAAATATTTTTCCTGGCATACTTAATAGTATTGTAGTATGGGTATTGGGACACACAGCATGTCTCATTAGAGTTATACATTGAAGGCTTCACAAAGAAACAGTTGCATTGCAGAGCTGTCGTATTGTTACACCTAAGCGACCACTCTGTATGGTTAAGGCGTCTCTGTTTTGGCAGGGATTAATCAGATGTTGCTACAAAAGCTAGCGCTCTCCGCTCCATCAATCTGCATCTGCTGCCAATCTCAGTTTCCCCGGACGTGTGAACAGTGCATCGCATCTACAACAATATACCCTCAAGTCCTCATGCCAACCTGGAGCACTGTGGTATGTATGATTGTATCTATCTGTCTGTCAATCAATCTAAACATCATACATTTTATAAGACATTTTCTACTCCGCCTGTCATAATAACTGCGCTTAAATGACCTGCCAATATGCAGAGTGGTATTGCATAAGTGTGCAGTCCAATCACTCTAAATTATTCAACATAAGCTCCACTTTTGGTATTGATGAGTTAGCACAATTCAGGTGAAGTTAGGGAGAGACGGGCTGAATGGAGGTAGATAACCCCCGAGGGATGATGAAATCTCACTTGGCTGAGCATCTTGTGTCAGGTCAGCCAGGCAGCATGGAAGTGGACTGAGTGGCCCCGAGGCCTAAAGCCAGGGAGACCACATACTGTACACACACACACACACACACACACACACACACACACTGGGGGGAAGGTTGTTTAAAGCAGCATTAAGATCATTGACTGAGAGCCCAAACTAATTAAATCTTAATTGCAGATTTGCCCAGCCCGCCTGAAGCAGTACATCTGAAGCACATGCATACGCACAGACACATGAACACTGCTTCTCACCCTACTGAGTTGCTCCAGCAATCTGTGGTTCTGTTCGGAGAGCTCGCCGATTGCCTTGGTCTTGTCTCTGTCGGTCTCCCTCAGCTGGAACTGATGGAGCTCCAGCTCACCCTGCACCTGCTGGACGTCCGTCTCCAGCTCGGCCACGCGGCCTTCCCACTCCCCCTCTCGACTTTCCAGACGCCGACGCAACTCATGCTTCTCCTGCTCCAAGTGCTGCATGTGGACGGAGGGGAGAGAGGTACATGTGGTTAAATGTTAATTTGCTTGGATTTGATCTACAGTATTTGCCCCAATTTTACACAACATATGAAATCATTGAGCGAGTGAAAAAGTCAGAGAGTTCACGCAGATGCTGGTGTTGCAAAACACTAAGAGGTTTCACTCAAAAATATTTCATGGTACTGTCGTTATGGTTAAGTCCAAGGCTGAAGCAGCTGGCATCTGTGTGGCCACTATTTTCATGACGGTGTATGTGTCCGAACAAAAAGAGGGATCCAAGAGAATCAAAACAACCTCACAAAACAACACCACGGGCTGTTAGAATAGGATACCAGGTGCTGTAACAACATCAATGAACAGAAGAGTTTGATACTAAGAGGCAGCTTATTTCTCTGAGCTGCAATGGTGAGGATGAATATGGATCAAAGGACTGAACAGATGTACAGTAGATACAGTTGGTCGTGGACAGCCACAGGATTAGTCTTTGGGGGTTTTCTCAGGCCACGTGTTGGCTTGTGTGAAGGATTTTTGAAAACAACAAGAACAAAAGCACAACTGCACATCATTCATAAACAACATCATATGTGAATAACTCACAGACTGCAACACCGTTTTTTGTTTTTTTTTAGCTTGGCTGTTGGTCTCTGACAGAGACAGAGTAGTCTTTAGATCAGAATGAACAGCAGGCTTCAATTCATCATTTGTAACTAGTTCCCTATGAAAAGGGAATCATGCTACTGAATGTGGGACTCTACAGGTAGCATTTGTTATGATCCTATTGAGTTTGTTTACATAAAGGCTCATTGATTTAAGGGATTATTTTTAAGTACAACCCAGAAAGAGGCTTTGGGCAGCATTCAAACTTATATTTTCTATCCTTAGTTTACCTCTAATTTCTCGTTGAGGTCTTTGTGCATTTTCTCATATTGCTTGGTCAAGTCTTGGTTTCTCTCCAGCAACGCTTTGCCGAGTTTAGCAGCTAAAACCAAGTCTTTTTCCTTTTGACGGAAGAGCGACAGCAAGTCTGCGTTATGCCCCACCGCGGGCGTCTCTTGTTCGGGCAGCTCCTCCTCGTCGTCCCGCTCCCCGGTAAGCATGGCCAGTTCCTCCTCCAAGGCCATGCCGAGGCCTCCGGAGCCGGCGTGCCGCAGCGGCTGACCCTGAAAGCCGCCGGGCTCCTGAGCGGCAGCGCTGGACCGGGGCTCCATGCAGTCGCTGTCCAGCTCCAGTGGTGCTGAAACCACGGCAGACGTCTGCAGATCTAAGCAGAAAGTGGACATCGCCGCCCGGCGGAGGAGAAGCCAACAGATAACAGCCGACTGATATCACTCCGGACGAACCCACCCTGCTCTGACAGGGTTGGGCTGACCGGACCGTCGTGTAATCGACATTTCATCCATCATTCACGCAATTTCGAGCAGGATCCAGTTAGATTATAAACTGCCGTCTTCCCCGTTTCCTCACGTCCCTCTCTCCGAGTTAAACTACAAGCCGCGACTCTGGCTCTGATTGAATCCCAACAAACACCGCCTCCTCTGCGAAGCTCACTGACTGGCTGTTTGTTATTGGTCAAAAAATGTTTTTATCCCGGTATAAACCGCCTCGATGAGCTGTGCGCATCGGTCGGTCGATCAGGGTCCATCCCGCCTCGGGGTGCTGGGTCCCCCATAATGATCGGCCTGTTACACCCGAGGCATTTGCCAGCCAAACAGATGAGCGCGTTCCCGACGCCTCCCCTAACGCTTTCCCGTCTTGAATGCACGCCCCCGACACGGTAGTGACGCCAGCCTGCAACCTGTTACAAACGGCCCACCCATTGGCTGAAAATGATAGCGCCATATTTTGGTGCTTCTCGCACACATCTGTGATATCCAGTAAATGAGCACGTGAAGGGATAATATGAGAGCAGACTGTTGCCTAAAGTGATGATGCTCCAGCTGTCGTCAGAAGCAAGAACAATCTGTGATGTTTGAACCCCCTGGATTTACATTTGGTTAATAAAATATATTGTATTTAAATACATTACTAACGTTATATTAAATAACCTGTTAGAGAAAAAAAATCATTAAAACATGATTTGACACTTTTGTTTTTACTCCATACGTTAACCGTCTGACGGTAATTTTCAGGGAAGTGTTTAACGTAAAGGTGATATGTCTCCATATCTGCGAAATGATTCATAAACATTACAGCTATTAAGGTAATTAAATTCAATGTTCAGTAAATAATAGTTAAATAGAAGTGTTGCTCTTTGAGGGCGGGAAACATCATGTATGCAACGCAGGTGGTAGAGTAAGGCTTAGTTAATACAATATGAAGCACTGTTATTGATTCAACAGTTTTAGATTAACCTAACGCCATTGAATGTAAATTAATTAGATCCATCTTCACCAGCTGCAACATTAAAATGCTGTTTACAGGGTGGTGCTTCGGAGATGATAAAACAGCAGTGCTATATATAATATAACACTCTAAAAGGGGGCATTCTGAAAAATGAGAAGACTTAATTTACTTTGACACTAAACCACAATTTGCTGATAATACTTATGTACTCTATAAAATATGAATGGAGGGTATTTACTATTACTGGGGTATTTTTTTGCATTGTGGTGTTATTACTTTTACTCACCCCTTTTACTCATCCCATTGTCCTTTAATGACAGAATCAAAGTTTGCTATTGATTGCTATATAATTGCTAAACAAGTGTAATGGGAATCGCTTTGCATCCATGACAGCTGTACGCATATGACGGAATGTGTCACTGTCCTCAATAGTTAGTTATGCCTCATCTTTGTAGACCATCAGGTTCAAATTCTACTGCTCCAGGCTAATTTGAAAAAGCCCTGTGACTAGTATTTTCTTCAAGTTGTTTATTTCCCTCGATGGAGGCGGTATCTAGTCGCTAAGAAGCTAAGATATTAAATTAAGACCTCTGATCAAAATTGCCCATCAGCAAGCTGGACCTCACTCATGGAATGTTACAGGATCAAGCGAATACAATATAAGTTATAGAAATCAAATGTATTGGGTGTTAAAATGTTGCCAATTGAGTGTTTGGGTGTCATAATTTTCCATCGAGGGAGGGTAAATATCCTAAATTGAGAAATGCTTGTTAACTACTGTAAGAGGCTAATTAAGGGTCAAGGCACAAATTCAGGGTTATGATTTATAGATTAGTTTTAAGTTAGTGTGAGTAGAGGTTAAAGGTCAAGGAATAAGCATGCTCAGTAAAGGCACTCACAGATACAGCAATCTGTGTGTCTGAGTGGATGGTGAGGGGGTAGAGATGAGGTCATGAGGTTGGGGGTGGGGCATTGGTGAGCAATGATTACAAACAAAGCCTCTTGAGCTGATAAAGTGAAGGCACAAAAGAAGTGGGTCACAGCCTGCTGGTCCACCGTCGCCTAGCTTCAGGGGGCCGAGGGGGCCGAGGGGGCCGTACACTAGATAATGGGTGATTTCCTCTGAGCACATCAAAACCTCACTGCTTTGATAAACCGCTAAGCTGAATTAATTTAGCAGCCCACATTATCCTTATTAGTGTAATAGTGCTGGTGTTGAGTTGATTGCAAAAACAACAACAACAACAACAACTTTTGTCTACATACTGTATTACAGCCTGGTCAGTCAGTCAGTGCAGTGAGTTGCTTTTACAGTTATAACATTTCTATTCAATTGCTGTTACAACACAGCAGTAATAATCAAGATTGAACCACAATCAAATATTCAAAACGCATGTCATTAGAGAGCCAACAAATAAATAATGTTTAATGTAAAAACATTGCGACATAATTAGGACAGCAATATGTACCATTGCTGGAGGTTTTATTAAGTAGATGAAGAAAAGAAGATTGCAAGAAGCGTATTGCCATGAGTGTTAATGAATAGAAGTCAGTCTACCACATTGCCTTGCCTCTTTGGATGGAGATAAACATAAACTTGCCTTCATTGCTCTTTATTTTAGACTGTGGCTCCCTCTGTGGAAACAAAATGATATTACATTCACATTCCCCAAAGTGATGGGTAAACAATCGGTAGCCTACTTACACTGCCCAGCTTTAGAGAACTGCACAGATCATATCTGAAAAGTATTTTGTGGTTGCTGTCTTATAATGATCAATGCTTCTCAATGATTATATAAATATGGTAAGGATTTGTAAATAAAAATGTTGTCTTTTCTCCAGTTGTAACTGAAGCCCCAGTATTTAAAACCAACCACAAAGACATGTTTTCCCTCAGAGAGCATAAATAGCCTTCTGTCTGTGATGGATTGTCAACAACATCATAAGCTTTGTCTGTAAATCTGCGAGTGACTATCCATCCCCTTTCCACATTGCCTCGTGGTAGCCGTGTGATTTGCCAAATGAGTAGGCAACAATAAATTCCCTCAGTGTGTATAGCTCTTTTAATGGTGGCAGTTTACATGAGTATCTAGAGCAGCGTCTTCCTCGTACTTATTGTTCTGTGCTTATGTAACACCAACCCTTAGTCATACTGGCCTGGCCTGAGGTTTGACTGTGCGTTACATAACAAAACCAGGTTCTTCTAACCTCTAGATTGCAGCATTTCTCTCTGATAGCCCTAACCTCATACCCACATGATGTGAAAAATGGAGCTATGTCACTGTTTTGCCAGTGGATGGCAGTGTTTTTGTACTGTTGCTTCTTCTAGATAACTTGGAAAGATTGTTTCACCTGCAGAACTACTGCTCTGCCTGATCATTTAAGTTCCCCCTCTGATGATAGTTTCATCTATTGCTATATTGTGTGATGTATACTTCTTTTTTTCAGGATGTACCATTATTTAGCAGGAACACAAAAACGTCCTAAAAATGAGCAGTGTTGTCTTTGCACACTGTGGACAGATTTGAATTGTCAACAGCATTTGAAGTGAGTGGGTAATAATCATTAACAGTTCATTGCGTAACAGTGAAATACACGTGAAAACATCCATCTTTCCGTCTTCACTTTCAGTATTACGCTGGGATTTGCTTTATACACATACAATATCTTGTTGCTAGGCAACATCAGTGTGATGCCTCAACCCAATACTCAGAATCACTGTGATCGCAGAGAAAAAACAAGTCCTCCTCTTACTGATATGAGTAAATCATAATCACTAAGATATTACATTATATAAAGTGTTTTTAATAGTTTAACATTATCTCTTGTACTTGTGACTTTTCATTGTTGAGTATCCTTAATGTGGCATATAGATACAAAAAGATGTGAAGGTTTGTCAGGCTGAAAGAAGTCACATACCAGCAACACACTGCATTATGTAATGGTATACGCTAAAAGCAGGCACTGTTTATAAGTCATTACACATTTTTTTCTCGAGGATATTTAAGGATCGATAAGAAAACTTCTCTCTGAACACGGGCCTTCTTTCCTGGACAGATGTTATGTTGCATAGGTGTCACTTTGTCCTAATCCTGGGCCTATGTGGGGACATCTTTAAGTTAGGGCTCTTCCTGGATGTGTGCTTGTCCAGACACCGTTTTCTCTTCAGATCACAGGAACAGATCTGTTTGTCTGAATCTAACTGAGCTAACAAGATATGGCATGAATGCATTGGATTCAGGGAGCAAATAGACAAATTCAATCAAAATAGGGAGGCTGTGTAGACATGGAGGTGTGATCAGATTTCAGGCCAGCACAGGTACATTTCTTTTTCATACAACTCAGCCAAGGTCTTCACTCGCTGTCGTCAGTACGGTCATAAAAGTCTAATTAACAACCAGTAAGCAGTATAAGTGAGTAGTGCCCTTGTTCTCCGTCTGCCACTGATCACTGTAACTCTCATTGATTGTACAGTGCTGTGCTTTCACCTTCTGAGCATTTTGTCCCTTCTGCTGCGCTGATGTAGTCCTGCTTGCCAGGTTAGGTTCTGCCATCTGTTACTGTGTGTGTAATCTGTCTCTGTGAGTATGTGTGCAGTTTACAAGTCAGTATCACTGTGACGTGTCACTTGGCTCACATGAGCATGAAAATGAGAAAATTGAGGTGAGCCTGAAGGAGTGTGTCAGACACTGGGGACCTTGTTAGGTTGTGACACGACATGGACTGTATTACTGTTTACCCTGGTACGATAATACTTCAATATGCTTTGTGACATTGTTATCTGCGTACATTATGTTCGAGTACTCTCTGTTACAGTGGTGTTCATTCTAGTGTCCAGTGCATGTCGTTTGTAAGCAAAGCGCTGTTTAGTTATTTTATTGTAATCAATTACAGAAGGGCGTTAGAAAGCTCCTGTTAAGTCTTGCTGAGCTTAATCTAAAAGCAAAAAGAACACGTTTGTAACCATAAATCAAAATTGAATGGAAAATATAAGAGAAAAGTTTGACTGAATCAAATGTTCATAACTCTAGCCTTTATTGAGAAAATGTTTATTATAATCGGCTGCACAATTTCAAAATTGTGCTCCTTTTGCTAAAAGATTGCAGTAATTGACTTCTTGAGCACAGGGGAATACGGTGCTATGAAATATTCCACATGTTAGATTTATACTGTCTTCTTTATTCATGCAAGAATCTGCATCTCTCTTTAATTGTTCTTGGTTACTTGCAGATTAAAGTGGAATATTACTGTAGTACATCCTTGCCCTGCCAGTTATTAGACTGCATTTTTCTGCTCATTAGACGAGGTTTAGCAGGGGTGATTGTGTTTAATCACTAATGAGCTGCACAATTTAAGGAGTCGTTAGTAACTGACATGAACATACAGTTATTTTCAACTGTTAGGAGCTGAATGTTAGCGCAGTGTGTCAAGCAGAATACATTAGTGTGATTAGTGACGGCTGCTGCAGTAAGGGAGAGGAAGAAAGTGTTTTGGGGGTGGTAAGGGTGAGCGGGTGACAGTGAAGAGAGAGATAGAGAGAGAGAGGGTGGGAGCTTCCTCTCTCTACAGTATGTGATCACCGGTCTGCTGCATTACTCTACAATGCTATTTTTTCGGAGTCCTCCACTCCCTTCCCCTCTCCTCCCCTCTATCTCTCTCTCTGTAAGCAGCAGTAGCCTAATCTCCAGTCTCCCCTCTCACTGCCTCACAGCTCTCTGCCCTGCCACAGTGCATCTCTCTCTCCCCTCGGCTCCACTCTCTCCCCAGTGAGGATGACATCCCCGAATTTGATGAACCAGCGAAGCTCTCATTCTGGCTGGTGGCTTCCGAGGGAGACCCCCACATGAACAGTCTTACTGGACGAGGAGGTGCCACGTCTAAAGAGCTTTGTGGAAAAGCTGTCAGCTGTAACAGCCTCTGAGTAAGTGCTATACTATTTTACTTCTAGCACTGTTCCCGTCAAAGATGCTGAAGGGGGTGAGGGTGACGACTTGGTCGGGGAAACAATGAAACCAGTATCTTTGTTTTACAGCTCTGAACTGCTACAGTGCATTGTTATTTTGATGTCAGCATGTTGAACCTGATTACCTGACTGATTGATTGACTGACACTACAGCTGAGAATGTATGGAGTGATGAGATAGCAGTGGTAGCAGCGAGCTTATGCAGCAGCTGTATCTGGTCTATCAGGAATGAGCCTTATTCTCGGTCACGACACTGAAATGCTGTCTCTGTCTGCACATCTCTCTTCATCGCTGTGCTTACTGTAGCACATACACTCATACAGATGGCTATCACTCCCTGGGGTGGCGTTCAAACTTGGCACTGTTTGTATATTTATACGATGAGACCACTGCATGCCCCCCCCCC